AGCAGAAAAATTGATAAAATATCCATTATTGGAACAATAAGTGTTTAGGCAGCTTTTGTCGGTTATTTGTACTGTAAATGCATATTTGATAAGTGAAAAATATTGTACATAAAAGTTAAAGAGTTTTCTCGTTGGAATGAATATAAAACAATTGTATCAGCCATGTTTAGATACTGTTCGATAAACAAGTATCATGGTATAATGTATTTATTCATAACTGATCCAGTTTTATCTGGCCCATATGCACATAAAAATAAGCATAGCTGAAGATTGGTAGGGTAGCAGAAACCCAATAGATACTTCTAGTGGCTTTACCACAACAAAACCTGTTGATTTTGCTAAGTGTAAATTAAATCAATATCAACTGCACCTGTAAAACAGATCAGCAGTATCACATTACAATGACCATTGTGGTGTCGTTAGCGGTGGAAGCAGTGTAATTTCATATAAAAGCTCATGGAATAACAGCTGCCTAAAAGAGCCTAATCACTGACAACACAGTAGTGAAAAGTGATTTGAAAAGTGTGGTTTTTCAGCTTTTAAATCAGCGTTGTGTATTCCTCTACACTAAAAAAATCAAATTCAGTTTACTGCTATGAATGAATACACTATCCCTGGATTGCTCATCCGACTGTAAAGACATCATAAAAGAATTCCCCCGTTTTGGCTCTGGTTTAGTTTGGTGGCTCCACCACGTTGATTGGCTGTAAGTGGTGCACTTTTCTTCGTAGGCCTCTCCAACTGCAGTGGAGAAAAAGATGGGGCCACCAAACTAAACCAGAACCGTAAATAATTGGTCTCAAAATTTGCATTAAGCAATTATTTCTACTTAAAAAAAGCATATAAAAACTTTTGGTTATAGCTGCAGCTGAGAAGTAGTTTAGTACTTTCACTTTAATTTAGGAATATACTTGTTGAAAGTTCAATTTGTTCTACACTTTTGCTCATTATTACTCTCACTGCTACAAATTTCTAATCCAGAAATGTTTACAGAAACCTTACAGAAACCTTTAAGCTCTTCAAAACAACCGGACTTACAGTGACTCTTTTGAAAAACATGAAAATGGTTTCAAAAGCCATTTCCAAAAAAAGGAAAAAGACGTCACGCCAGAAATGTTTCAAACCCCAACAGTACGCCTAGAGAGAAAGTGTGTTCTAAAGTTTTGTGCTTAGAAATCTAATACTTCAAAAAAAAAACTTTTTTTTTAGCTTTTTTTCTAAGATGATAAATAACTTAGAAAGTTGTTGTATTGGTAAAAAAGGCAAAGGTTTTTATAATTTGAAGCATCTAGACTGCTAAAAGATCAATAGAAAAGTTTATCAAAATAACTGGCTATGAATATAATTGTTGATTAAAGAAGCGATAGATGATGATTAAAATCAGGTTTAACCAAAAGTTTTGGAAGTACTATATGTATCAGCGGTTCAAAAAAAAAAGATGAAATTTACATTTGCAAACAAGCCATAAAAAATTTTCTGTGAATAAATTCATCACGAGTTACATTGAAGCTAAAACTAAAAAAGCAATTTATCTTCAAGAAGTCTTTGATAAACGTCACTCGCATACCACTCTAAGCAGTCGGCAACAGAAGATATTGCTATTTTATCAATTTTTGAAAGACAGGAGAAGACAAGTTACAAACAAAAAGAAGCTCTATTTTTGTAAATTATTTTTGTTTCTATAAATTGTTTCAAACTTTATCAGAAGAATTTTATGTCATGCATTACAAAAGTCAGAAACATGTGGAAAGTAACATGTACAGGAGGTAAATACGACAAGCTGCTTGGTTGATACGTTCTTGTTGAGCCTTTTATTTAACAGAAATTATAGAAAAAGGCGACAAAACAGAATTTTGTTCTGTGATGACGGCGAGTGAAAAAATGATTTAAAATCGGTAAAAATTCTTGAAATCGTTGTAGTTTTTTGGCTTGTCGTAGCATACTTGACATTTCGCTACTTTACTAGTTTATCTGTTGCTTTAATTTTATTTATTTTTGTTAACTGAAATCTTTGTCGTTTGTAAAATTGCTTGATCTAAAGCTCACTGCAAAAAAGACTATTGACTACTGAAGAATTTACAGAAATATACACTTAACATTGAATAATAGAAGCTTTTTGAAAGTTTTTTGACTTTTGTTATCAAACAGTTTCAACTGTTAAGCGAAAACCGTTGAACAATTTAGTCTGGAAGCAGCCAGTAAATTGACAGTCTTGAAAATCACCTTGGAAAAATTGTTTAAATTTTATTTAGTCAGATTTTTGTTCTTTGTTTTACTTTGTACTAGGAGTAAAGTCAGTAAAATTGCTACAATAATAGTATAAGGTTAACTTCAGATAAAACTGAACTTGAAAGTTTATAGAAGTAAAGCTAAAAGCTTATCAAAATGCAACATATTGACGACTGACTGCAAAAAAAAGTTTATGTGTGTAAAAAACTAGACTTAGCAATAGATTTGACGAAGTTATGACTCTTTATTTGTAGAATTATAAAAGGTAAGTAAGTCTGATAAGACTAGCAAATGTCTACCAAAGTCAAGCTACCAGTGTAGTTGCATTGGTAATAACTGCTTCTCTCCAATTTTTTTTTCGCTTTTTGTATTTTGATTTTATTTGATCTATGTGTTAGTCTTTGCGAATTTTTTTGCTCATATTTATGGTGTCTTATGATCTGTGTGTTTTTTACAGCGTTTACATAATTATAACTGCAGTATCGCTCCTGAATGCTTTGACCAGCTTATTTTAAAGTTTTCAAAAAAAAAAGAAAATTAAAGTACCGGTTTAAGTTGAGTGTTTTGTTCAGTAACAGGTACGAAAAATTAATAAAATTTACTCTTTCTAGAAAAATTTTTTTATAATTTAATTCAAAAAAGTTTAAAGAAGGAAGAATTACTTTTATATCGAATAACTGGTTGAAACTTCTTGTCAGAAACTTTCTTCTGGATTTCTGATTATATATAGATTTTCAGGCAATAAAACAAAGAACTCAGTATATGTTGTTTGATTAAGAAGCTCAGGCTTCTTCAAAGTTTTTGCTCTTTTGCTTCTTTTATTCAATTTTTAGGATACAAAACACTCGATAATACCCCTCAAAAAAAACTTTTTCATCGAACATTGTTACTGTTAATTGCGTAACTTACAGATCAAATAAAGCGATCCTTATGTCATGATGGTAAAAAAAATAATCTTTCAGGATGACTTACTGAGATAAGTGGCAACAAAAAGCAGTTACTCCTTGCTGAGGTTAAAAGAAAAGTTCGGAATTTTAAATTATAATCAAAAAATTGCACCTATAAATGATCATAATCAAATCACAATGATTAGATAGTTCAAGCCAATTACTAAGTATGTTTCTCGAACTAAAAGCAACAACATCTATCAAGTGATGTCTATATTAAGCTATGCTTTACAATTTTCATTTGTAAATTCTTTAATTGAACTTTTAATGTAGATGGTAAGATTCTAATTATTTTAGTTGATCATACATTTCCACAAGTCATTTAACCGTTCATCTTGTCCACTACTTATCAAGCATCAAGAAATGTTCTGCTGATATAATATCGAGTTGAAAAATTAGTGTTAACTCAATTAATGATGATAAGTAAAACCTAATAAAAAATAAATAATAGCTTTAATAAAATAAAAATGAAAAAAAACTGAAAAAATTGTTAATCATTTGAAACTGACATACTATTTTGAGCTTTTTCTTCTTTTTTTTTTTT